GAGTAAAAAAACAATGCCTATTAGTCTTGACTTGCATAAAATCTCAATTCAAAAACATTATTCTTCCAACAAATATATATTTTGAAAAACTAATTATTATATTTAATATTCATGTAGATTGTATATGTTAATTTTTAAATTGATTGAATATATTTAATTAATTTATTAATTATATAAAGTTTAATATAATTAAATATATATTAAAAAATATAATTTTTTAATTTAATGATTATAGATATTAAATCAACTTAAAAATGAATATGTACAATTTGTATAAATAAATAATTTAATCCAATGATTGATCTTTTAAAACATTTCTTAAAAAAAGATATTTTTGAATTGAGACACTATTCAACAGGGGCTAATATGCATTATTTATTAAATAGTTGTAACAATTAACTAATTAAACAGCTAGTGCATATAGGCATATAGCTGTATATGGATGAAGAGAACAAATTGTTTGCCCACTTGCTTGTATAAGAACAAATTTGCTCTCTTTTCTTTTGTACTACACCTGTGGACATGATCATTAAATTTATCCACCTACCCATTTTTCCACACAGATATTTAGGCAATTCACCTTTTTTTTTTTTTTTTTTTTTTTTTTTTCTTTTTTCTTTTTTTGAGGTAGTCAAACTTTTGCCAAAAAAAATGGCAGTGGACTTTTGACAACTGGGATCTTCTGCAACAGCTACCTGTGTATTGTGAAAATAAACAGCTACCTGTGTGTTATGAAAATAGAGATGATTGATTTTAGATATTACGAGGAAACATTATTTTAGAGAACTTGAACAGTCTTTGAGGGGTCCAATTCCTATCTCCATCACCTTAATTAATATTTCATCCACTTTTTAGTCCCAACAGGTCAAAGCTGGTCCGTACTAATGTGATGCTCGATTAAACAAACCCAAATGCCCCTCAAAAAATCTCATATTTAAATATTGATATTAGTGAAGAATAATTTAAAAGATTAATATGTATTAGTTTTAATTTTAAAAATAATTAAATTTTAATTTATATTTAAAAATTAAAATTTTATTTTATTAAAT